AACCACTCCTGGCGTCTTTGAAACTTAGGAGCTAGCCCCCGATCTCTTATCTAGGGGAGTGAGGCGCAAGGATTTCCAGCTTGGCTGCAGCTTGAGTCGTAGGCCTGACTACGAGTTGTCACTGCTTCCTCATGCACGCTCGCCATGGGCTGCTTATGCTCCAACGCTTCGGGTGGTGTTACGCTGGGCTTGCGCCTCAAGTAAGACTGGCAAAGCCTCTCCCTCTGTGCAAAAAACATGCAACAAGCATGTGTTGGTGCAACTGTTCGTTGCACCACCATCGAACAGTCTTCGTTCGACATGCAAGAATGGGCCATGTCGCTAGCTTGGCTCAGCCTGTTGGTCCACTGTTGGTGTTGCTGCGTATGTTAGTCAAGATGCAGGGGCAACATGTGAGCACATGTCACCACCGCAAATGCCATGCCATGCAGCGTCTGCAGTTCAAGCCGGTTGCTTGAGGGCTCTGTCTTGGTGAAACCTTCGTGCAAGAATTATGACCATCTCAAAAACATTGCTCTGAGGAGCTCCTCGGTGTGCAGACTGTCATATCATGAAATCTTGTACAATAGATTACGAAAGAACCTAACGCAACGGAACATAACAGAATCTAATATGATACAATATGGCATGTGCCACAGAATACACAATACAGAGCATTGGATTTGTATAAGTATGTGTGTATATATATATATGTATATGGTAACCTCCCCAAGAACTACCTACCCTCGTTTTGTATCGTAAATACTGTGCCAAACCAGCTTTTCCGGAAGGTCAGGATTCTGTATCTCTCATAGACTTGTGATCTCTCATAGACTACCGAAATAAAACTATCATTTCAAGAGGACGTGTTCAGTCAACCTTGTCAGGCTTAACGTGGGATTCAGTATCTCTCAAGGACTACCGAAGTCAAATCAGTCAGCTCGTTCAAGTTCGACGTTTCGACGTGAGCGCACGCTTAACAGCAACACTGTGCTCTTCCTCCCAAAACTAACTTTTTCCTAGGGAAAAACCAAGAAAAACATCTTGCGGAAAACTATACGGCCGAACTCCAAAAAGATTGGTTTTGTGTTTTTCATAGGAAAAAATGGTTTTTGGTTGAAAAACCAACTTTTCCTACGGAAAAAATGGTTTTTGGTGGTGAGACCAACTTTTTCCTACAAAAAAAGATGGCTTTGGTGTGAAAACCAACTTTTCCTCGGGAAAACAAAAAAAACAACAAAAAACATGTTTTGGGAAACTATACGGCCGGACTCCAAAAAGATAGTTTTTTTGGTTTTTCCCTAGAAAAAATTGGTTTTTCACAACCAAAGTTGGTTTTTCACACCAAAACCATCTTCTTCCTAGGAAAAAGTTTGTTTTTGAACAAAAACCATTTTTTCCTAGGAAAAACAAAAAACAATCTTTTCGGAGTTCGGCCGTATAGTTTTCCGAAAGATGGTTTTTTAGCTCTTCCTAGGAAAGAATTGGTTTTCGCCTCCAAAACCATCTGTTTCCTAGGAAATAGTTGGTTTGTCACGTCAAAGCCATCTTTTTCATAGGAAAAAGTTGGTTTTTTACTCCAAAACCAAGATTTTTTAGCGAGGAGTGCGCCCTTCGTTCGTTTGCCCGCGTTACGAACAAGTGTTGCGCCTTTAAGCTGAGAGTATTCTTTTTACTGGGATGCGATTCCGCCAACATTAATACTTTACAATATATTGGGCAGTAACCAAGGCAATATTCGGGTCAACTTTGGGGTCGATAGGGAGCTGGTTATCACAACTACCGCTTGATGTCTTCTAGCTGACTGAAGTTGTAAATTAAACATCGGGTCAAATTCTGGGTGGTACTAAGCCTACTCTGGATGGCCTTGGGGCTGCTCTCAGGGCGAATATTACGGTCACCATTGACATAACGGCGAATGACAAGGATATGGTTAGGGTTGATGTTGTTTGGAATCAGCAGTCAGCGAATGATCTTCGTCACTATGTTGGTACCTAGTACAAGAAAAACCTGATTCTGAAAGTTTATGTGTATATAGACACATAAATGTACATACCGCATACGGGCAAGTCCGACAACAAGTCTGACAGTGAGAAAGGGGGCGCCATGTACTGTATGTTTAGGTAAACAAACAAATGCTGGTATAACCCCTAAAAATCGAAGGGTCATCCTTTGGGGAACACCAGAGCGAAGACAAGAAGGATCGCGGTTCTTAATGGAGTCCGTTTCGTGTAGTTTAATATTGACATGAATATGACGGCAACCGTTGAATCAAATTGTTGAGCAGTACTTAACTTACATGTATTTCTATTAACAATAACTAGTAATGGGGATGCCATGGCTTTTTACTTCGGAGACTTGAATGGGAACCCACAGCTGCATCTGGATGCACTAACTTGTTGATGAGGCCAATGGCCATTATGTGGGTTGAAGTTGAAGGAAGTATCCGGCACAAGGAACAGCTTATGGGCAATATTAGGATTGCGAGTACCGTCCATCTTGGGGGGACGGCAATATCGTTACTATCAGGGGACCAGTCTAGCTGATGTATGTGATTGTATTAACCTTGTATTCACCTTCAGCTCGGCAGGAGAGTTGATATGGGGATGTATACATAATGGGGTTACAAGTCGACATAACATGTTAATCCATACGCACTAAGACGTGCACCATTTGTGGGTGAACATGAAGTGGAAGACCACTGTCACCATTGGCGCCCATGTAAGGTCTAATGGCAGGGATAGTCTTAGGATATTGTTGTTTTAGGAATAGGAGTCAGTCAATGCTCACGGTCATTCATACGTAGCGAGGGTTACGTTGGGAGCTAATGCTCGTGCCCATATTGAGCTTCGGGTATTCCGACAGACATGACTTTCATCGTTGGGAAATCATATGTCAGAGTATCTGTGAGAAGGGTCACAACAATTGAGCCGCTGTAGTTCTTCGGAGGGGGGTACCATATATATATATAGAGAGAGAGAGATAGATAAAAATTCATATATATATATATATATATATATATACACATTACATAATGTATGTATGAATGTATACATATATATATATATGTATACATTGGTACAATATATATATATATATATATATATATATATATACATATACATATACATATATATATATATATATATATATAACGTGTCAGTCATGTGTAATATATGTACAACATAGCATCAACTCAACGACTTTGCAGCCCGAGGCCGAGGCGGCTTTTCCGTCTCCTCAGGGATCTGAGAGCTTGGGCTTCTCAGATGTCTGGGGCGTTTGCTTGGGCTTCCTTTGGCTCGGTACTGGCGTGTTGCTGGGGCGTGGGGCCGGCTGTTTGGAGGCTTCGAGTGTCTTCAGCTTGGGCTTTGATGGCTTCGTCTTCTTCCAGTCGGTCAGGCCTTCCCTCAGAAATGAGCAAAAACCGCTGTCCGCACAAGACAGATGTCAGGCACCCTTTCGAACACTTCGTCGAGCAGGAAAATGGCAGCTCTCACCTGCAAGACTCGCTCTGAAACTGCAAAGCGAGATGCATCGAAATCATGGCCGCCGGGTTGGACCGCGCTGACCTGGGCTACGACGAGGGATACAGACGGTATGCCTTGCAGGATTGCAGGCAGACGCTTAGACAAAGAAGACGGCTGCATAAGCAAAGATCGCAAACTGCCTGCAAAGTCTTCCGACGCTGCCTCGCTTGAGAGCTTGGGCTGCTCAGGCTGGCCCACGGGCTTCTTTGTCTTCCGCTTGGCCTGCCGCAGCAGCACCGAGAACGTCTTCTCTGCTTTGGGCTGTGCTGGCCTTGATCTTCATCTCCTTCGGAGGTGCAGCCTGTATGTTTTTTACCGCGGAGTGGGTGAGGCTTGAGCTGAAGCGTCACCAGCAGCTCCAAAATCACAGAACCGGAGAGGCAGGACAACACAAGTCGACCAGCCTCTGTCAAACTATGGTGTGGAAACTCCGCCACCTCACCGACCTCGCCTGCAAAAAGCTGTCAGCTCTTGGCGGACTTCATGCAAGTTCAACAACACGCGCAGGCCTTGCACGTGGCTCTGCGCGGGATCCTGGCCGCGGAGCGACAGATTGGAGGTCCACAACCGCAAACAGAGTGCAGGCGAAAGTAGTGTCGATTTCGTAGTCTCCAGGCTTCCCAGACCTTTACAAGCCCGCAGGCATTCAAAACTTCTGCTTGGACACTTCCAGCCGAAGCTCTTCTGAGCCTGTTCCCAAGTCCTTCTAGTCACTTCGACGCGTTCAGGCGTTCGCAGGTGAATTTCGGCTCGTCAAGCTTTCCGGTGCTTGGACGCTTCGAGGCGCTTGGGAGCCTTGCCTTGGGAGCCTTGCTCTCAGCCGAGTCTCACTTGTTCCTCGATGCCTCCAAAACCCCCCCAGGCTCCTCAAACCTGCAACAGTTTTGGGGTTCTGGCAGGGCTATCTCGGGTGCTTTTGGGCGCCGGCATGCTTACCCCCCCCGTCATTTTCAGCAGGCCTCTGAGCAGATGACACCTGTCTCGACAATCTCCGCACCTGCATGCTGCAGGCTTGTCTCTTAGCCTTTTTTGTCGAATCTTGCTCTTCAGTACAGTGTAGAGAACGATTCAATGCAATTCAGGCGCCGCCGACGACGATGGTGGTGGTTTCCACCTTCAGGCAGGGGCTTTGCGTGGAAGACCCCGTTACACCCCAGACCTCAAACCCTAAACCTCTCATTCCACAGCTGGCCATCGCCTGGGCTGACACATCTCTGCCGCCACTGTGCGATGTCGATGACGGCTTCTGGACCTGTCAGTCTCCAATATGCGAAAATCCGATTGAAGGCCTCCGATTGCCCTTACCTTGTCTCCGAAAGTGCTCTGCATCCCATTGAATCCCCAAGGCTGAGAGAGTTCGGAGCATGCAGGTTGCGACTCAGCGTCGCCGCACATGGTCTCCCATCTCCACCTCACACCCATCCCACTTCCTCCATATGAATGGGCTCCTGGCTTGATGTTGCTCCTCTGTATTGGTAGGTGCCCTGGCCTTTAGGCCTCAGAGCCCCTGTCGAATGATCTTCCCAGGAACGCTCTGAGGCCATCCCTTCCTGGCCTCGCCTCGAGCAGCTTTACTTCTGAGCCTTTGACCTGTGCCAGTTGTAATACTTGAGATAGCAGCCAGGGCTGTCCGGTTGTCTCAATTTTCTGCTTCTCAGCGGGGTTGTGCTCTTGAGGGTCGAAGGCACATGCCTGGCCCCCGTCACATGCTATAAGCGTGTAGCAGCCAGGCTCCTGTGACGGTGCACTTGCGTGCAAGAAGATTCTGACACACAACACATGAAAAAGAACGCTGGCTGGAGACAAAGCAGCACAGGTATCTTTCCACCGGCTGCCGCAGACCTATCAGTCCATAGCCATCTAGCTCAAGAAAAGAGCAAGTTAAGCAGAACCTGGCTGAAAATCGCTGCGCCAAATTCCCATGGTAGTGCTCTGACATCGTTCTCAGGGTTGCGGCTGCGTCGCCTAAGCTCTTAGGCTGCTGCATCAGTCTGAACCGTCGGCTTCTTTCTCTTCCGTTTGGCCTGCTGCAGCAACACCGACCGAGCGGGTCTTCTTTTCTTTGGCTTGTCCTGGCCTTGATCTTCACCTCCTTCGGAGATGCAGCCTGACACATGTCAGATCTTAGCAGAACCAGCTTCTGTGACACTTAGTCGGCATTCGCAGAAAAACTGCCAGAAAATTCCCACAGCCTACTGCATAAACCAGCCTCCCGTTCTACTGCTCTGGCGAGTCCCTCCAGATCCCTGGAGCCCGGACCTTCATCACGGCACCAGCCTGCACCAGCTCACCTGTGCAGTTTCTGGTGGTACGGACATCGCAATGCAGTCGGCGTCTTTGCTGATGGGACGGCAAGGGTGCAACTAACTTGGCCGGTCCGGGCGTGGGGAGCAGTGAAATTCTGACAGCACGTGTGCCTTCCGCCGTGCTGACGACGCTCGCCAACTGAGCAGAAAGACCGAAGCATCGGAAGTGGAGAAAAACTCAAAACCGAAATCTCCTGGCTTGCCTCGGCCTCTGGTCGGTTGTGACTCGAATCCGATGCATTCTCGCTCGATGGTCACCGTGGGAGCTTATGTCATGGGCCAGTTGTGGGAACCAGTTCGGTCAACCCTCACATAGGCAGGCTCACAAGTAGGCGATTAGCGGCTGACTAGCAACACCGTAACCAGAGTGGCCTCATCGGGCGTCTGACTGACAGCATCATCCTGTCAGGCATGTCGCGAAGAAAAGATACGACAAGAACCAATCTCGCAAAGAGAAAGCAAGTAAGACCGGATAACCCCACATGTGTATTTCATCTTTTCGCAAAGAGAATATAGGTGAATACGAGTGAGTGAGCGAGTGAGTGAGTGAGTGAGGGGGCGGGAGAGCCCCAACAGTAACCCCACACAAAGATGTAGGGAAAAACATCCATAAACAAATCAGCGAGACTTGCATGTGGCGACGAAGAGCTCCCCAATGGACGTTCTCACCACAGCCTCGCTGTCGGTGAGCAACGGCTTGCATGCCCTGGCCTCCCGCAAATTCCGGTTGAATTACGGATGGCTATGCTCCGTTTACACTCGCATTCAGCCAAGCTTACAAGTAAGCGACAACCACACGATGAGTCGTCAAAGCCCCCTCCACCGCCAATCTCCAATACCGAAACCGGCGTGGCCTCATCGGTAACATGCGAAAACATCCCCGCACAATTGACGAGGAATGCATATGGAAAACTCTCCGATGCATGCTGACAGCTGGCGAAGACAATCTGGGACTCACTCCACTACAGCCTCGCTGTCTGCGAGCAACGGCTTGCCTGCCGTGGCCTTCAAGCAAATTCCAGCTGGACAGCAGATGGCTATGCTCACATTGAGCCAAGCTAACAAGCAAGCGACAACCACACGTTGAGTCGTCAAAGCCCTTCCACCCACAAGTGGCCTGAGCGGGTGTCTGACTCATAGCATCATCCTGTCAGGCATGTCGTGGGGAAAGGATACGACAAGAACCAGTCTCGCAAGGAGAAAGCAAAAAAATCATAAACAAATCAGCGACGCTTGCATGTGGCGTAGAAAAGCTCCCCTATGGATGTTCTCAGCTGGCAATTTCAGTCTGTGACTCAGTCCACCACAGCCTCGCTGTCGGTGAGCAACGGCTTGCATGCCCTGGCCTCCCGCAAATTCCGGTTGGATTACGGATGGATATGCTCCGTTTACACTCGCATTCAGCCAAGCTTACAAGTAAGCGACAACCACACGATGAGTCGTCAAAGCCCTCTCCACCGCCAATCTCCAATCCCGAAACCGGCGTGGCCTCATCAGGCGTCTGACTAGCATCATCCTGTCAGGCATGTTGTGAGCAGAGGGTAAGAAACAATCTCCCAAGGAATGCAAACAAAGACCTAGCAAAATGAGGGAGCTCAGCATTTGGCTCGGCAAGGCTTTACGATGCGTGCTCGCATCTAGCGATGGCACTATGCGACTCAGGCTGCCACATCTTCGCTGTCAGTGAGGAATGGCAGCTTGCTTGCAGTGGCCTCAAGAGTCAGAGTGGCTAACAAGCAAGACTCACTATGTGCTCCTTTGACAGGTTCGAAAGGCTTCAAGAAAGAACACGTTGTAGGCCCTCTCAAGGCGCAACGTTGCCTTAGAAGATGAGCTCAGCAAGCTCAAAATCTCATAGCCTGTCAACGGAAAACTTTCAAACACCTGTGGTTTTTGTCTCCGAGGTTGATCCAGGAGGCATCGCCATTCTGGTCGCGGCTGTTTGCTTCCTTGAGCATGTCTTGCACCGACCGCATGAGGTCGTCGGCATCCGCCTGTTTCGAGCTGGCTCTCTCTTCACTTGTCTCCCTGTTCGCAGCATGCTTCGCTTGCCTTCTGAAGCATCGCGAACATCTGCACCGTCTTGGCGAAGTCATCGGCAAACAGCTGCCATCGAGAATCTGCCTTCACAGATACAGAAAAACCAGCTGGCTAGCTTGCACGCCGCCTAGGCACCGCTGCAATCGTACGTTCTCGGATAGGAACAGGCCGAAGCCCTCAACGAAAGCCAGCCGGCTGAGTCAACAAGACGTCGGATCGAAAGTCGTGCTGCATCTTTCAACTACGAGTAGGGGTTTGCGAAAACGCACCGTTTCAAAGGTGAACCGCCTGGCATGCAGGTTTAGGACCCATGGAACCTGCTTGTATATGTTCGCTTCAGTTTTTGTCTGTCTGATGTAAAGCAGTGCGCTGGCAAGCTGAGTTCTTCCAAGTTAGTCTTGCTTCAAGCCACGGTTCTTAGCAGCTCCTATCCCACCCATCACGCCGAAGAAAAAGCAGACACGAAGACTACTCGAAGCCTGTGCTGCGAGCTTCTTGATCTCCCTCTTCCAGAAGCTGCAGATCAGAGAGTTCGAGAGGTTATCGGGCAGTGCTCGGCAGGCGACAGCCAAGGCACACAGCACGCTCACATTGGGGATGTTCAGTCCATCGAAGTCTGAAAGCCAGAGCTGCACGAAGTCCTGGTAGGCCTTGCTCACCGCCTCTTTTTGAAATCCGACGGAAAGCCTCAGCAAGAGCGCTGAAGCCTTCGCCAGCTTTGTCAGCAGCCAGCCTCGTGGCTCCGCAACCAGCAAAGCATTGGGCAAATAGAGGACGTGCATAGTTACAGGACATGCATAGTTGGCTCTGGCTGCTTTAATATTATAGAAAGACCCACAACATGCCCTGAGCCCGGAAGGGGGTGAACAATAAAATCTGCCAGCGCCGAGTGCATCCTGGGGGCTGCGATGCGACAGGTAGCGAGGTACCTCCGTCCAGGTGTCAGGAGCATGTCTTGTGAAAACACGAGATCGGACCTTTCATGGCTAAAGCCAGGTCTAGGCAAGGATTCTTTTGAAGCAGGATTCTGTCTGAGAGCCGTCAACGACAAGCCCAAGCCCAAAACCCCAAATCCTAAGCCCCGAACCTAAACCCGAGCCCTAAACCGCAAACCCTTCGGAAGCACCTGGATCTGGCTCTTCCGCGTGATGATGTTGGGACTCTCGGCGGTTATGGACCAGTGGAATGCCAGGTATGACTCCGGCTGGAACAGAGGCAGCAAAAGGGCCACGACGCTCTGCTTCAGCTTGGTGAGGGGGCCTGCGCCTGAGTCCAATAACTAATGCAAGATCCCTTCAGATCGTGGGCAGCAGCACCATGCTAGGCAGAGAGTTGAGTAGACGCAGGTCGGGTACCTACACTCCTGATTCGGACTGGCGTATGCATGCGGATGAACTTCTGAAGTCGCCGAGGTTCCTGGTGAGGAATTCGGGCCAATCGCTGTTCGGGATGACATTGGTCCCCGGAACAAGTTGCTTTTGTGGGATAACGACAACTCATGATCAAGTGGTCTAAGCAGCTCGTTGGAAGGACAGCTGTCTGCGCACTTGTACAAGGTTGGACGGTTAAGACATTCGATGCTGAAGACGGCACTTCTACGGCACAGAAGCAGCCATGGCACCATCGAAGTTGAGGAATCCGCTTCGGGAGGCCAGCGAATGACAAAGCACAATCTTCCGCTCCTGCCCCGTCTTGCACAGAAGCATTCCAGAAGGCAGCAGAGCGCTCGCTCTCATGACCAACCAGCAGGGGTCCATGCTGCACATCGGCGTGTGGATAAACCAGCCCCATCCCCAGCCACCCACCCCCCGCCCCCTCAACACCCCCCAAACATGCCCAATGACCCTGCTGTTGTGGTGCATCAGAACCCGTTTTGTTGGATTGATCGAGTTCGAAGGCGATCTAGACCATACAAGGCGGATGAAGCGTTGAGGATCTCACCCCGTCCTCGCCCATCTTGGGCTTGCCGCCCAGCTGGCCAGCAGCATTGCGCAGGGTCTGACCAATGATGTGAAGCACCGCATACACGATCACTGACACCAGCATCACCAGCAACGAAACCTCGGCACTCGACAGAGTTCATTCGAGTGACGCGGGGAAGCTCACCTATCTAGGGATGCTATTTTCGAATCAAGTGGCCGACCAAGCCCACATGCTCTCTGCAGGTGGAAAGAATATTAGCAGTACCGCCACAGTGGTGAAGAGCACAAAGCGTGCACCGAGCAGCAGGCACTCCAAGAAGTCCAAGATTTCTGCTTGCGAGTTGGAATATGGCTTCAGCCAGGCCGTGACGGCGAGTTGTATGCCCGAGTTTAAAGCAAAGAGCAACAGTTTTGCCTTGTCGTCGGTGGTAACGGACGTGGACGCGATCAGCAACATGAGGCCGATGTCAAGCCGCTTTACCACCAACTCCCAATACCTTGGTGGTTATGTCACCCTTGAGCCATACATGAAAACGCTCCATACTGCAACTCATGCAAGGGAAGTGCTCACAACATCTCATAACTGTTGAAGAGCAAGGCGCCAAAACCTGGGCTCTAAGCCTTCAATGAAATAGCCGAAAAGGCGGCGGTTCTCTGGCTCCTGGCGATCGGTCAGCGCCCAAATTCGAAGGAACAAGGCAAGCGGGATCCCGAAGCACCATAGCACCAGGCCACTGACGCCAATGGCGAAGAGTGTCCAGTGCTCCTCTTGCCAGCACACCACGTCGGGATGCGCATGCAGCCGCTGCACCATCACCGGCCCCTGCCGATCTTCGCGAACCGAGATGCATCGAACCATCTGCAAGAACTGGGACATCAGCTCTGGCCACAAGGCAAGCTGTGTGAGCCATATCACCGGAACACTTTGCTTCAGCAGCGCCATAGGTCTAGGCCAGGATGAGAAGAGTGCGAGGTCCAGCCTTGCCGCTCTGCCTTGGACCTCTGCCACGAGCTCCGACTCCCTTAGCCGCAGATGACGGCAAGCGCGTCTGAGCAGGGACCGCCCACTTTCACCTCGCAAATTGACGAGCTCGTCGACGGACTCTGCGACGCCGGCCACCTCCACGACGAAGTCCGCCTGCAGCCGAGGCTTCTGCAGGAGCTTTAACTGGTTGTGGTGGAAAAAATTGGGCATCTGTCAGGAATGCCTCAACTCCTGAAACGATGAGCTGCCCCAGCTCTCTGTAGGTCTAGGCTGTGGCAGCACAAGATATTTGATTCTTTCACATCTAGTGTTCTTGTCATGTGAAGCGTAGTTTTGCAACAGTTTTGAGGCTGCTGGTGGCTCCGGCTACTTTGTCATGAACCTTGCCTCGACTTATAGCGCACAGCCTCGCGTGGTGTGCCTTCCTGGCGTTTTCGCACAGTGTGGCCTTGCATGTGTGAGTGTGTCGTTGACCGAGGTTTCACATCTCTTCCTGCTACACTGCTACGCATGCAGGGGCTAGACACTGCCTATGGCCTGTGGAACTTTGGTAGCGAGCATGGCAACGGATCTCTGATGCGTCTAATGTTTCTTCAAAATCGCGACAAACACTGCGAGCCTTTGAGAGGCCTTCCCGCTCAGCTTCTGCCTCAAGTTCTCCTCTGCCGCAACCGCTTGGGCCGGGAATCAGGGAGCTAAAGACTTAGGCAGGTCCGATGTCAAGCTGTAGACATAACAGCTTGCTACCGAACTCTGCAGCCAGGGTTACAAGCTTGGCCACGCTTCACAGACACGGTACAACACGGGCAGTCAAGTTTCTACGGGAGCTGATCACGGGTCCGTCCTCGCATCTTCCACGCCAGGACACCAAGGACCTGGAAGACACAGAGAATGCCTACGATGCGGCATGCCGTCTAAACGTTCGCATGGCGTCGCAGCATAGCGGGAGCAGCTGAAATTGCAGGCCCACATGCTCGTTGAGCTTTTCGGCTTCAAGCTCTGTGTAACTATCTCGCCTCTCCCATCCTTTCGCCAAGATTCGGCACATGGACGAAGTTTGCTGCTTCGAGCATGTTCAGACTCAGACAGAAATCAATTCATCTGAGTATCAAGTGTATTGAGCAGCCTTCAATCCAAAGCCCTTTGCTGCCACGCTGCAAAACCCTGTATCCGCCAAAGCCAAGTCTGCCGACCCGATCCCCGACTGTTGAGGACACAAGGCGGTCGTGTCGGATGTTGTGGCCGAGGCAGTAGGGAAGCCTTCCCTTCTTGCAAGGGCTAAGATGAGATCCCAAGCTGAATTTAAAGCACGGGCCATCGGATGCTCTTTTGTTGGCGCTGGCGGATTGTCCTCCTTTGATGGCCGTGTAGTAAACAGGTCAATGCACGCGTGATTTGACTAGGTGCTCTGATTCAGTTCGGTTGCTTGTGGAAGCAATGCTTGATGTTGACGCTGAGAATGTGAAGGTATGCCGATCAGACCCAGCATCAGCTGTGTCGGCCTCCGGTTAGCCGGGCAACCAAACGGGTGGCTGTAACATTAGACTCAAAATGATCGCCTGTGAGCAAGGGCGGTTCACACAAGCCGGCTAAAACTCAACACACACGCACGCAGACACACAGAGACAAAGTTGAGAGAAGCAAACTGACATGCAGACACACAATGAAACCTTGAGGCAGGCACCAGTCGGCGCAGGGCTTTCTCGGAGATCAAGCCATCGGATGCCTCAAGTGCTTGCGGGCCCGCGTCTCGGATGTGAACCACCCCTGCAGCACCACGAGGCGAGGATGCTAAGCAGTCGGCAGTCGCAAAAAGCTGATCATCTTGTATGCCTCCAGCGAGAACGACATCTGGGACCTTCTCCAAGTGCACCTTGCTGAAATCAGTCACTATCCGATAAGCTGAGCAGGTTACAGCACGCGCCTCGTCCCACAATCCCTGCGGGAGCTCTTGCAGGATACGGCCCCGGCCCCGGGCCGACTCGGTACCCTCGCCCTCAGGGTTCTCGGCAAGGCTCAACAATGCGGGGTTGCAAGCGCTTCGGTCCTGCCTGCTTCATGAGGTTCAACTGGCCTCGCACTGCTTTTAGGGCTGCCTGCTTCTTGGCCTTCCTGCGGTCGGCTTCCTCGGCTCGCGGTGACATCCGTCATGTGCAAGCTGCGATTTGGGCTTAGGGATTGAGACGACCCGTGCGGCCGGGCATCATTGAAATGGATCCCGAACATCCTTCCCAGCGGCAGCACGGCGTAGACCACAAGTGCCGACAGGAAAAGTGTGCCGAGAAGACTCAGCACCGGCAAGCAAAGGTAGTACAGTACCGGCGCACTCCACTTCATGCCCTTGTCGCTCGACCAGGTCTCAGATTGGCACTCGGCCGCGAAGTGGACGCTCGCCCGTGGAATCACTGCTATCATAGAAAAAACTCCGTGCATGGCATCGGACACTGCTTGAGGCCACGCAAATCGTAAAATCTCGGTGCACTCCCCATCGCAGCTCACATGTGCTTCTTCCTGAGACCATGAGAAAGGCTGCAACCGATCCAGATCAAAGGTAAGCAAGATCTGACATGCTCCAATCCAGGCCTGCATCATGCGTATCATGCATGTATGGAGCTTGAGCGAGCTCCCCGAACCTTTCGCCGCCAGAACAGTAAGAACGAAGTTCAAAACGGTAATTCGCGTGAGGTCTGCTAGGACGGCGGCAGCGAGCAACCAGGCACCCTCGTCTTGAGGGCAGGGCTGGCAGTATTCCAAAGGGCTGCCTCTGCCCCAGCCGTCCGGGCACTCCCCACACATCATGCCAGAAGAGCCCTCGGCGCATTGGTTTCCGACAGCTTTGCCACAAGCTGCAAGAGTTGGATCACGCTTGCACTCCGGAGAAAGGCCACTACAGGCACTGTCTCCGTTCGGAAGGACAACGTGGCATTGGACCGCCAGTGTGCTGCCAGTTTGGAACCAGCCCGCAATGGATCTTGGCTGGGTGTGGTTCCTTGTGCCCTCATCGAAGTCACCAGGGCACACCAAGCCACTGTAAAGAGCACAGGAAGCACAGCGCTGTAACTGGCCCTTGTTGTCAGTCTCTGCCACATGCCCGGGCAAACAGTAGCAGGCATCCACTTCAGTGGAGCCCCGACTGCTGTCTGCATTTGCAGGGCACGTCAGGGAGCAGACCTCGTTGCCTAAGCTGGGTTTGTACCTTCCCGACGGGCATGGCTCACACCGTTCTGCATCGCGGTCAGCCTCATATCCGGCCTCACAGAGACACTCTGACAAAGACCGCGATCCTTCAGAAATCGTCGTTGAGTTTGCTGGACAAGGAAGTGCGACGCCCGAGCCGTTGCAGTAATATCCGATCTCGCAAATGCGGCAATCCCCCTCATGGTCGTACAAGCCAGCCGCGCAGACGCACTCATGGACCGAAATGGCACCACGCTGAACCGTCGATTTCGGAGTTTCACATTTGTCGCATTCTGTATCTGCCAGTGAAGATTTATACTCACCCTGGGGACAGCGTCCACATGTCCCAAATTGAGCATCGAAGCCGTAGCCCCGCAAGCAGAGGCAATCGCTTGCACTCACGATCGGCACACCCGGAGGCTTGGCTGAGAACTCTGGGCAGGTGATCGTCACAGAGGACACCTCGGGTGTTGATGTTGCCTCGATGATGAAGTCGGACAAATCGTCATTTAGCCGGACAGCATCGCTCATGTCGCTCACAAGCACGCTCACATCCGTCTCCTGCGCAGAGAGGTTGGCCTCGGCCGCCGAGGGAAACTTAAGCACGATCCCAACCGATGGTAAAGCTGACAGCCTGCGGCCGGCTGCATCTGCCCAAGGTAGCACAATCTCCACGGCGCCAGGATCCATCCTTGTAGAGTCTGTAATGCTTCGGCGCAGGGTGGCGATCAGCTCACGCCTGATCGCTGGATCAATCCAGTCTCTGCCGACAGATATATTGAAAGTCATGGTTGCTACATCTGAAACGTTGCTGAAGCCGACTGCTTTGTTCAAGTCCACCATGCTAGAGCCTCCCTCCTC